AATACACGAGACAGAATGTTGGAGGCAGACATGACAAACAAGAGCATGAACTATGAGAAGTTTTGTTATGCTCAGATAGACTGGGAGACCTGTTTTTCCCCCTCAATGTATGTATTTTCATTGTCTTTATATTCACATTCTTCTTTCTTAGCAAGTTTATTCACAATTTCATTTCCTGATATACCAGTAAAATGGCACCCACTGGAGTGCAATATATATTTTGAAAGTCACTTTGCTAAGTAAAGCTAACAAGTGATGAAATGTACCACTTCTGTCTTTTCGAAAATTGTGTTTAAACCATCTTCTGTGGTGATGTTTGTCCCCTAAGTGCATCTGCTACAAAATATCCTGGGACTAAAAGAGTTAACATGAGATGAAAATCGTCATTGTCTTTAACTGATCAATCAAGCAGTTAGATAAGGAAGAAAAAACATAAACATTTGATATTTATACAGTAATATAAATATTATTAAATACACACATTAACTTGATGAAAACCTTTAAAGATTTATAGAAATTCCAATAACTATGCCATTGCCTTGTAACCTGTAAGTAAAGTTATTAAGGATGTCAAGAGCATCAAGCATGTGACATCAGGGTGCAGACAAACACTGTTAGTATTGGCAGTTTAAATGTGGCCGATTTTCTTTTAACATGCACCAAAAAAGGAAGAGCCTTCTGTTGTCTATGTTTTGATAAGTGGCATTTGAAACTTCCTACTCCACGCACACATTTGCCGGATAAGCATAATATCTACAAACTAGACCTTCATTTGCAGATGAATTTCTGAAGGTTCACCCCTTAACTGATTCAAAAGTGAGTAACCAAATGCTGCTCCTCTTTGGTTCATATAAAAAATTGGGAGGCCAACTGTCATTATGACAACATCATATTTATTTACACCGTGATGTGGCATGCTAAATACTCTTGACATCATTAACAACAATACTGACAGGTTACAAGACAATGGCATGGTTACTAGAATTTCTGTCAATCTTCAAAGGTTTTCATTTGAAGCCCCCTCGTACAGTCAGGTGTCTCCATGGTAAGGAAGTCTTGTTGTTTTTGAAATAATGCATGAACCCTTTCACCTTGGTAACACTGAAAATGGGCCATGTTTCCTTGGGTATACTGGAAAAAATACTTAATTTTAAAAATATTTTTCTAAACACAGGTTGCTAATAAATAAGTAAATGAATTGAAATATCCGGGAGCAATCATATCATCAGATGGAAAATGTCTGACGGAGATTAAAAGCAGAGGTCAAGTGAGGCAACATTTCAGAAAATGAAAAAAAAAAAAATAAGTCACTCTCATTTAATGACAGAAAGAGAGTGCTAAAATGTTACACAGAACCTGTTCTGCTGTATGGCAGCAAATCTTGGAATGTCAGTGAACAAATTAAGAAGAATTTGGAAGAAACAGATGTGGTTTCTGAGACGAATACCTGGGCGGCCAGAGCAACAAACAACGATTGTTTAAAATAAGCTAATGAAAGTAGGTCTTTATATATAACAATAAGAAGGAGACAAACACTGTTATTTGGGCGCGTTGGCAAACACCATGACAACTGGAGAGATTAGTGGAAAGAGGAGTAGAGGCAGACCAAGAGAGATGATGCTGGATGGGCTGAAACGATGGCATGGAGGGATATCAAGAGCTGTTCCAGGCAACCAGGGATCGTGATCTGTGGAGATACATGAGCGTCTATGCCAGTTAGCAGGGCACATGATGATAATGCTAATAAATGTTTAAAAAGTGAAATATAGAAGGGAGTAATCAATAAACATGAACAGAATGATGCAGTAAATGGAATTCTCTGGGGTCTAAAAATACATGTGTCAGGTGACTCTTATCATGAGTCTGTGACCTTTATCACTGAGGTTTACAACTTTGACATCAACTTGGCTTTAACTAAAGTTTAGTTTAGGAAAAAACAAACCCTGAATGCTAATTCTAGGTAATATATTTACATCCTGACTTCATAAACATTTGCACAGGCATGAAAACAGCCAATATCATTAACCATACGAATTGTAAATAGGTCACTAGAGAGTTGACATTTAAAGGGAATGGGTGCCAACTAAAAGTACGGTTTTGCAGCTTTTTATTGCTTGTTGTGCGATCCTGGTTGGGTTGAACATCATTCACTTATGGACTACAAGAAGACTCCCTGCTTTTAGCAGTGTCAAGTTTAGAAAGCTATCTGGAATTTTCTGATTCTTTGTGTTCATCAGCTGTAAACTTCGGCAAAAAGTTCTAGTTGTTCACCCACTTCTGGACTCTAGTCTTGTTCCAGAGTGTTGCCTGCACATCACTTTTACAGATCTTGGCTCATTGGTATGCAGATTGTTAGTTCTTTGCCTTTTTGGATAGACAGTGGGTCTATTCTTGTTTTTCCCACAGTGGGGTCCTGGAACCCACACAAGGGACAATACAGTACTTCTAGGAAAAATAAAGATCCCGGTACTCACTACAAAGTGTGGAAAAGATGCTAGTAGTCACCACTCAGTGCCTATTACAGTAGTGCTGAAAATAAATGATGTCCAAAACAGGTAATGGTACTGTGTACCACTGAGTACCACCATTAAAAAAACATAAGTCCTGGAGCAAAAATAGTAGTGATGGCGATGGTGGTAGTAGTATAATTATAATGTAACATAACTAGAATGTATTTACACTGGAGCCCACAGGGTCATAGAAGTACACCTATACTTTTCATTTAATTCAATCTTTTGTGTTTGTTTGATTGATATCTTTTTATAACTAGTAGTACAAGTAGTCTTACAGTAGATTCTGGTAGCCCTTCTGTAATGTGTCTCCTTGCACTTAATCTCTCTCGTGCAGATTCAACACTAGCTCTGTTGTTTAGGGGTTGTGTCAGTTCATTCCAGCCAAACTTCTCTTCTCTCCAACTGTCACACATCTTTAAATGACAGTCGACGACAGTTGACAGCACTTCACAGGTTTATTGTCAATATAACACAAGTGACAAGAATCAACAGTAGAACTAATCACTTACGCCATTCAGGCAATCTCGCCTTGCGCATGCTCTGAGTCTCCAGCCACGCTTCAGACGATGGGCACTGGCATGTACACGACTGGCATAACCAACAGGCCGTAGAACACTACTGCTGTCCTGAACAGTAACCCAACACAGCTTCGCTTCTTGTCATTCAGGACTAACGTTCATTCTATTCTCATCTAGATCCACGTTCATACTTATCACTCTGAATTCAGTTTCACTTCCTTTCAATCTGGGGTCCAGTCACAGAATGACCACCTCATTTGGGTGCAGGGTACACCAGAGTAATACTTAGTGTAGACGTTAGGGTGCCTTAATTATAACTTTTAAGGAAGTGGAATGTAGAGTCTTGAGTTCTGTCTTGTTGGACTGATGTCAGGTCACTAAAGTGTCAAACATTCAGTCAAAGCCAGGAAAAAGGGGGGGGGGGGGGGGGGACCAATTAGTCAGTTGTGTGGTGTTAAGGGCATTCTCCAATAAATATTATCTTTCTGTTTTCTGGGTATCATTTTCGACAGAAGGGTCTTTTATGCATCATGTGGAGGCAGTTGTGGTGAAATGCCAAAAAGGACTTAATGTTCTCAAGATTATTTCAGCAAAGGACATGGAACAAAGAATGCTGTTCAGAATGTTTCAGCATGTGATCCTGTCGGTGATAGATTATGGACTTGGCCTGCTTACCATATCAAAGAGTCAGCTGATTAAACTTGAACGCATACAGAATGAAGCAATGCAGGTAATTCTGGAATGTACAACAGATACCCTGGTAGTATGTATGCGATATATACTTGCACTGCCTACTATTGCTGATAGGCTCAAAGTTCTGCAAGCAAAGTCATATCTCCGAGTAGCTGCAGACAAGAAGCACCTCCTGCAAGAACATCTGGGCAGAGCTAGGTGTCACAGACTAAAATAAAGGAATGTCTTGGATGATGCAAGTTGAAGACATATTTAAACATGTGTAAAGACTTGATAAATTTGGGTGAGGAGAGGAGTGGGTCGAGGTGTCTGAACAAGTTTCAAACTTGTGTAGAGTTCTTATCACTCTGGGTTGTGAGTGCAGGGACTGGCCAGCTGGTGCTGCAGAATCAGAAGTTCAACAAAAGATTCATGACAATTCCTGGCAAGGTGATGTGATTATTTATACAGATGCCCCTATGTTGAGAGGCAGACGAAGTGTATGGGGGTTTATAGCAACAGCAGATGGATGTCCCTTAGTGCAACAAAGTCTGGCATATGATATCACAATATCTAGTTTAAGAATATAGGTGGAGGCAGTCGCTGCTGCTTTCCGCTGGCTTGAGAATCAATTGTACACATGTCATGATTGTAAATGACTCACAGAGCATGCTGAAAAAGGTGGAGACAGACAGGCTTCATGCAGAGTGGCAAGCATCGCTTCGGAGGTCCCAAGTAGTCAGCGCCCTTTGGATATTTTGTCCAGGTCATGCTAAAGTGTTGGAAAATGAGCAGGCAGACAGACTGGCCGGTTCTGCACCACTTGGTGGTGAATCGATGTATGACAAGCTAGATGTTGTGAGGGCCCTTTGGGAGTGAGTGAAAAGGGAGGAGGCACAAATAGATCAGAAGTGTAGAATAGCGCTGTGGGGAGTTACCAGGGAATCTGGCCGACGCTCAACACTCAAGAGATGGGGGAGATAAATATACATTGAAACAGTTACTGGTACCCTCGGAATTGGAACCTTTTGCTGGGTGCTGAAGATGGGGACGGAGAGCTTATTATACTGAGTGCTGTGATGTGGATTCTAAATTAAAAGTTGAAAATTCAAATTTCTGTTTTCTTTTAGAACCAGTAAATATCTGTCATTACCATCACCACTGAGCATCAGTGGGCCACCAAATGTTGACTGTCTGATTAGTCCTCCCCCCTTCCCCCCCCCCCCCCTACCTCTGTCAGTCATATTTAATGAATCTCTATCTTTATATATTATTACATTATTCTTCTTATAAACAGTTAATGACTAGCATCTGCTCGATATTCTTGCTTTGCACCAGTCTCAAGAATTTGTACAGATATACTTATGTTTCCAGTTTCACACACACTATCATCATTTTTGTTCTCTGAAAGTTTTGCATAAGGTTGAGTAGAATGACTTCCACTATTGTTTACTGAAACCTGATCAGATGTATAAACATCATTACTGCATAAAACAATAAAAGAGTTCACAGGCACTGTAGTTGTTTCTTCTGAGTGTAATGTCCTATTATCAACACAAGTTTGTTGTGTATGAGCCAATTCTACATCACTAGAATGAGCATTCTTGTCATCCACAGCAGAAACATTTTTGGGTTCCTGAATTTCCATGCAAGACAGAAAATCATTTTTTGAATCCTCCTGAGTATCTGGTATGTCCACCTGCCCATCTGTGCTGGTGGTAAGACCCTTGTCTTGATTATTATTTAGTAAAAAGCCGTTGACTGTGTTCGGTTTTAATAACTCTTCTCCAACATCTCCATCTTTCTCTGTGGAAAATAATAAAACGCCATTGTAAGCCTCTTTATAATAGTTAACTTATAAATAAACTCATACCATACCTTCTCCACTTACGGCCAGCGAAATCATCATCAAGGTGGATTGTTTCCTTAAAACTGACATTGGTTCTCAGGTAAGCTCAGCCTTAAATGGGTATTAGGTAATATTCTGAGAAGTAAAGCCGGTCAGATTAGACTATAAAATATATAGGTATATTATCCTATGGGAGTTGTCATTGTATAGATGTAAGATGCTCGCAGTGGATCCAAAGTTCATGGGTTCAAATTTCAAGGGAGCCAACTGACTTTTTTTTTTTTTAAATTGACCTGGGCATTCAGGTTTGCTCAGCCTTAAATGAGTACCAGGTAAAGTCCAGGGAAGTAAAGGTTGAACTGATGACATTATCCACCAAGTGCTGATTGATCTCTTAAAACATAGGTCTAGAACTATATGCTCAGTAGGCCTGAAGTCATGGACAGGAGTCCTTTATTCTACTTTATTATCATATGCCCAATGTGCCACTGGCGTAAAAGTGACTTTAACCCTATTACCCTATCAGACATGTTGTTAGGTAGTTAGTCAGTCGACAGATTTTCCTCATTGCACATCAAACCATTCAGTCCATAAATGCTTGGATCTCCTGCTCTGTAAATTCCACATCGTGTAGTGGCTTACGACAGTTGTTCTGTGTTAGTTTCTTATTCTTCTTTGGCTTCCTGCATAGTGCTTGTCTGGCCACACCCCTTTAAACATGCTGTTCTTGCAGTTTGGTCATGATTGCAGATTCAGTTATCACCTGCTTCTCGCAAATGTCCTACTTCTTGTAGAGCATTCAGAATATCAGCATGATCCATGGCGTTTCCACCCTTCACAGTAGCTTTACCTGTAAGTTGATCAGCTTGCTCATTTCCTTGCTCACCTGCATGCCCTGACACAAATATAAAACTGAAATGTGTCACCCCCAACGCTTTAGAGACTCCAGCCACTGTATTCAGACCCAACCCTTCTCTTTCTTCCTGAGCATACTCATTGAGTCACTGAGAAAGCATATGCAGGAAAAGACATGTTGTAAGGAGGGTTGGTGTGAGACCAGCTAACTCATGTCGTAGAAAACTGTAGTCATCAAATCCAGCCAATCATGAACACATGGGTCCTGGTAACTTTGATTAATCAGTTTGTCCCCTCTGTGCTGCTACCTAAATAATTACCATGCCATCCATATATTTAAAAAAATCTCAAATCTGGACGGCGGACCAATGAGGCAGATCCCAGAGACCCTGTTCAACCTCAGAAAAAGTTATAATTAGGGCACCTCTAAGGACTACACAATCCAGGTGTCACCTGCAGTCTGAAGTGGGTCAGGACACAACTGTCATTACTGCCTATGTATAGTACCACTTTTGCGGCGTCCGTGGCTAAGGCGTTGCGAGTCCGACTCATAATACCAACGTACCGCGATTGAAACCCACTGCTGGCTGCGTGGATTTTTATCATGGTATGGGGCGTGGCAGGTCGACCCAGCCTAAAATGGGTACAAGGATGGGCTGTCCTGGGAAAGTAAAGACAGCCGGCATAATGCTGACCACATTACCCACTGAGTGCTGATGGTCTGTAAAAATATGGGCGCTCTTCCCATATGCCCCATAAAGGCGTGAAAGGGATCTTTACTTTACTTTTATAGTACCACTTTTTGGGGCAGAGTATGACAGATGGGTCTAGAGCAGCGTTTCTCAACCCTTTGGGGGGGGGGGGGGGGTTCAACGACCCTTTCAGCGGGGTCGCCTAAGACCATCGGAAAACACATATTCGTCGAATTTGTAAAGAAGCTACAAAATAATTCTATGGTTGGAGGTTGCCACAACATGAGGAACTGTATTAAAGGATATTGGCATTTGAAAGGTTGAGAATCACTGGTCTAGAGCCTAAGGATTTGTGACCTCGTGGCTAGTGAAGCTGCCATGAACTGGGCAGATTAAGATTTTTTTTTTAATCCATAACATAAAAAAAGGTGTCTATCACCTTTTGAAGGCTCAAACCCTAGTCTCACACATGACAACCCAGAATTTTAACCACTCAGCCAGATGCTCTTGTTTGTTAACACTCCTCTTCCGCCCCTACAAGCTTGGTGCTTTGTGGTGCAAACCTACTTTTAAGTTAAACAGAAGTTAAGAGTATTCTTATCTTGAGTCAAATCTGTTCTTGGACTCTGATGATAACACAGTTGCGTGACCTGGAAGTAAAACTTTGTGAAGCACATCTATGCTGTCTTCGAGGCTAAGAAAAGTAAGTGCTCAGAAACATTTAACCTGCTCATGCTAAAATGAGTATAAGACCATTTCCAGGATGTTCTTAGAATGATCTGCATGGAAAAGGTCATGAGTTAGGGAACCTCAACCTCACATGCCATGATCTAGAAAATACAAAGGCCTGTTGCCTTTATATCTCAGTATTTTAATGTATGGACATGGCAAATATACTGAATGTGCTGCATTGCAGGAATTAACTCTTCCAGGATGACATTTTTTATGGGGTTTGGACAGCATTAGTTTGGAGCTGAATTTCTTTTTACTGCAACATGGCAAAGCTAAAACCTTCCTGATGAAAAAGTACTGGCAGTATAGAGACACATAATATATCAAATTAAAGATAAATGAGTGCAGAATAGATATAAACTATTTAATTGTCAGTATTAAAACAAAAAGGTAATAAAATCACACAACATTTAAGGATGTTAGACTCATATGAACATTATTTACATATAAAATATTGAGCTTACCTTACTTATTACTTTTTCCACAACAGTGCTATCCATTTCTAAGAATTCAGATGCCTTCTCTATTCAGTTATGCATCAGCTAGTTTTTTTTTTTTTGTAACAGTTAATTTAAATACTTTTGATTTTATGACCTCTATTGAATGACATGTCAAATTTTACAGCCGAAATCAGAAAAACAGCTGATAGAAACAGAAATGATCCAATTGAAATATTTTGTTCAACTTCATCCTAAACTACATTATCAGCAACAGGTTTGTTACTTATTGGTCACAATATCAAGACTATTGTCACTATCTGATTAAGATTCATCAATGACAGAGCAGTATGAACAGTTCTAGATCTTTTTCCCTATCATTTGATCTGGAAAAGTCACATAACATTTTCTTCGCACTCAATTAATTCAAAACAAATCAGAAAATAATCCACAGACCATGCCTAACTTCGAAAAAGAAAAGACTTTGTTTCACTAATTCTAGTTATTCAAAATATAGTCATACAAATTCATTTTCCCAGCAAACAAAACAATATCAGAGTGTCTCTATGTAGAGCCATTACAGTGGTCTGAGTGTGATAGATTCAAAAGCCACTTTAGTGGCGTTCCGTCTGTAAAGAGTAAAACAAGGGCAAGCATGCAGAAATCAGTTGGAGGACAAAGAAAGAAGAAATACCAGTCAACTCCTACTGGGTACATTGAGCATGGAGACACTAAGATGGCTGTTGTATTGGAGCGTGGAGCACGAATGGGTCAGACTTATGTGCTAGGATGTTGACATGGACAACAAGTAAGTATTTTTACCCATTTATTTTACCTTTATCGTCATCTGGTTGCCTAAACTGCAACTTCTGAAGTGTCCAAGTTCGATCAAGTATCCAAAGCACAGGCAGCACAGCTACACAGAGCAAGCTGTAGACCCTAAAGGTCCATCTAGCACCGAACAAATGCAGCAACTGTCCTGCTATCACAATTCCAATACCTCTACCTGTCACCAAAAAAAACATGTTAAATGAATCACAGACTTAAATGTTAACAACAACTAAAACATGTTAAATACAGACTTAAATGTTAACAACAACAAAAACAAAAGCTAGCTGGCCTCGATCTGAAGAGAGATTAAATGTCCCTTGTGTATTGTTAAACGTGCTTCTTTCATAGTTTAAATAATCTCAGTCTTATGGAGATCAATGTTCAGCACATCTTTATCTTTTTTCATTTAATTCCCCCTTTGCCCCCCCCCCCCCCCCCCCCCACCATCCATTGTGAACATCCTATAAAAATGTATGTTATCTTAAATTACTGTCTTGATAAAAAGACAATCTCTCAAGTCCACACATCTCCATCTTTTCATTTGTCTGCTTGTTCATACATAAAATATGCTTGTGTCACAGAAATTGTAAGCAAGGAATACAGCAAATTTAGATGGTATGCTTAGGAAGCCTCTAAGGTGTTCTCAGGGAAATGAGAGGTAAAGAATAATAAATAACATCGAAGAAGCGGAAAACCTGGAGTATGTTATGACAGTGGGCATCAGGAGAGCTGGAGCAAAATATGCTGAGCAGTCTGGCATCATGGCATGAAAGAACATCTGTCTTACACATGAGTGGCTATATATGAGACAGAAGGCTGAGGACTTAGATATCTTAGATGTCTTAGACATGAGTGGCATTACATAAGACAGAAGGCTGAGGACTTAGATGTCTTAGACATGAGTGGCATTACATGAGACAGAAGGCTGAGGACTTAGATGTCTTAGACATGAGTGGCATTACATGAGACAGAAGGCTGAGGACTTAGATGTCTTAGATGTCTTAGACATGAATGGCAGTACATGAGACAGAAGGCTGAGGACTTAGATATCTTAGACATGAGTGGCATTACATGAGACAGAAGGCTGAGGACTTAGATGTCTTCGTTGTCTTAGACATGAGTGGCATTACATGAGACAGAAGGCTGAGGACTTAGATGTCTTAGACATGAGTGGCATTACATGAGACAGAAGGCTGAGGACTTAGATGACTTAGACATAAATGGCAGTACATGAGCCAGAAGGCTGAGGACAGAGGGAAAGGGGGGGGGAGGTGTCATGCTGGTTTAAGGTTGTGTGCTAGTGCAGTTACCACAAACTTTGCAGGTTGAGATTTTTATTTTGTCCACGACAGAAAAAAAATCTCTATTCCTTACACCAAGAATCAAACCTGGGGATCCCATATGAGAACCCAGCACTCTAACCATTTGGCCAGTACCGGGCATCTTACCTAAATCCCAGTACATAGCTCCGGCCAGCCCTTGGCTTGAAGCTTGTGTACCAGGTGGTGCCACCATACTGGCTGTTGAAGAAGCCGCTGCCCAGAATAAAGAGTAAGTCACTCCGTGCAGGACCTCCACAGGCAGCGCCATCCAAGGATTAGTCAGGAAAGACAACACTAGGTACCGTATGGCATAGGCAACAAGTGTCAGATACATGACTTTAATCTGACCGAGCTTTCGCAGAACTAGGCGTGAACATCTGTGGACCAGTTATAACAGCATTGTTATTGCAATTGTTATTTGCATTTATTCATTGTTGAAATAATTTGTGGTTTTCGGGAGGAAATATGGGTTTGAAAAATTTTTTTAGTATGTTTTCTGTTGACAATAGAGGCCAGACATGACTGTACAAGATAGAAAAAAAATAGGGGGGGGGGGGGGAGATTATGAGCCCCATGGGGCAGGTAAACAGCAGAACATAATGTTGATGAAGAAGATTAATTATGGCCTTTTTGGGAGGGGGTAGGGGGGGAGGCACTGAATTTGAGTAGCTGCTGTGGTACTAAAAACCAGTATTATGGTTGTGGGTACCAAATGCGGCAGGATTGTGTTGTGCAAGCAACAATTCACTTCTGGGTTTGACCCTGCCTGTGTTAGAAAACTAAAAACAGGGATTTCTTTCTAGAACACAACACCATTTGCAAAATACATTAAAGTAAACATTCTGACTTTATGTAACTTCTGCAATAGAGCTATGTACTTTTTCTATAGTTAGTAAGAAATTAAAGTGAGCCATGAACCATTTCACAATCAATAAAAAAGATGTCACGTACCGCTCGTGACGCGTGTCTGTTTAAGGTTCTCTCCTTAAGAACCAACAGCACTCTAAAATAGTATAATGAGGTGACGGCTCATATTGGTCTAAAGGGTATCCCGTGGCCAATATACACCCAACCTATTTCAGGAGTAGGGCAACTCAAGTTATGGCACTACAGAAGACATTACAGTATTTGAACCTAAATATTAAAGGATCATTTTTAGAATAATGTTGATCAAAAAGATGACAAAATAATTACTCTGTTCTAAGTCTGAATAATAACTATGGTAATCGTTTGAGGTTTGAGGTCTGAACAACAGATCAACATCATGCTACACGGGTAGTAGAGCCTAAGTGCTCCTTTCTTCTAACTCAAGTCTGAGTCTGAAAAAGCCCAGCATAGTGCACAGGCTCTGTAGCACTGGAGAGGATCCTGAAATTCTTTTGGTAAATTTTTAACTCCAAATTTTGCCTGCGCAGCACGGTTAGGCTACTCTTTTCAATTTCCAACTGCCAAGAAATTTTTTATGTGCTCAGCAATGCACACGGGTGTCTGATCTCACTACCAAGAGACCATGGGGAATTACTAGAAGTCCAAGTCTAGGTGAAAAATCCCAACCCTTACCAGGGATTGAACCTGGAACTTCTAGGACTCAAGGCAGACATTTTTATTTAATGTTATGGTGCCCTAATATATCTGTCTTTCAGGTTCAACAGGGTTCTGGGATTCTAATCAAAATATTGGTCTTTGAGTTGGGTGTTGATTTTGCAGATTGCAGTTCTAGACGGAAAATATAAAATGAAAAATTAAATTAAAAAAACTCCATGGGGTTTACAAAGCATGGTACTGGAAGGTATGGTTCCTAGAAGAAGGGGCAGGAATCAACCAGCAGGATAGTAAACAGGACATCAGAGGCACAATCGGCTAGAAAGTACACGAGGCAATGGGAATTTGATAGTGATCAAGAACCTTCGGTGACAACTGATGAGCCCAAATATTTCATTTTCTGCATATCATGTTCAGTAGTCACATAAATACAGAAATTAATATTTCTATACATAGTATATTTAGTTGTGTATCTTTTACGGGATTTTGGAGAGCCAGACCCAGGATTTTTTGGCTGTTGTGGTTTTTCTAGGCAAATTTTACGTTTAGTAGTTTGCCATTGCTTTCTAAATGGTTATATTTTGGTCATCATCATCATCAGGTGCCCTGCCGACTGGCATGGGCTATCATGCCTATACACAATCTGCAATCTTCTACAGCATGTATCAGTTCGTGTGCCGACACACCTCCATGCCATGCAACAAAACCGTCAAGAATCTTCTCTGGTTGTCTTCCTTTATCTCTCCTTCCACAAATCTTTCCAGTGGTCACAACATGTTCTATTTTCCCTCTTCTCATAACATGGCCAAAAAATGATGACTGTCTCCTTCTGATGTTTGTGATAAGTTGTCTTTGGGCTCCCGCCTCTTTCAAAACCTCTTGGTTGCTATTTTTGGCTGTCCAAGGTATTCTAAGCATTTTTCTGTAAAAGCACTTCTCTGAGGCCTCAAGAAATTGTTTGGCCTGCCTGCCGATTGTCCAGGATTCACAGCTATATGTTAAAACTGGATGCATGTAGCAAGCAAGAATTCTTTTTCTAACTCTCAATGACAAAAATATATTGCACAAGATGTTCTTCATTTAATAAAATGCAGTTTTTGCCTGTTCTATTCTGTTTCTGATCTCAGTTATGCATCTTCCATCTGATGTTACAAGACAAATTGTACGCAGCTATGATCGAACATGGCATCCCAGCATTACGAAGCACGTTTGCAATGCCTAAGGCACAGACGCCAAAACATACAGAGTATAAGGGAACCACCAGAAATGTTTAGGGAAAGGGTGATTTAGGGCCTGAGCTATTGGGTTTTGGCACTTGTGTATATTTGGAGTTGGCAGGTTCAAATCTCAGTGTAGTCATTATTGTTTCCAATTTTGATGTAGTCCAGTGTATCATCCAATATATACTGCCTTTTTCTTCATCTATGAATGCTAATCAGTTTTCATAAATTTAATTTTAAATAAATTAAAAAAAAAAAAAAAATGTAGGCCTATCAGTCATGTCAAAATATGATTTACAAGATCAGCTGGATTACGTGAGCCAGAGAATTATCAACAAAATCACACACACTCACACCCACACACACAAAACTCACACATTAAATTACCTGAGAATTATCACCGAAGCCACACAGTACAGAAGAAGGCAGACACCCAGGGTAATTTGGGCACTTCCAATGTCGACCAAGAACCAAAATATAAAATTTTGCGCTGTTCCTGCCATGATGCCATAGAACAGCAGTTTGACTAAGAACAGCCGTACAGCACCACTACTGAGCAGTTTCTTTAAGTCAGAGAAGAACATCTTGTTTTTTGGTATCCTAAAATATATATACAACATTCTTGATTTCTAGTTTTGTCTTGTCAATTTACTATCAAAACATTAAACAGGTAAAGGACTCCTTCTGAGTCAATGGCACATAAGGGATATGATTTTTAGACTTAAATTTTTTTAAATTAATTGACACTTGGTGATCGATCTCATGCCATGGTCACACAGTAAAAGAACTGTTTTGACAGTTCTTCTTTTATTTTATTCTGAGATGTGGTTTTTAAGAAAAATGCAAAGAATATCATTGAGTGAAATAAAAACAAATGAAGCAGTCCTCATCGGGACCGATGAAAACTGTAAACTTATCAGGGTGCTTGTAACATTTTCCAGCCTAAAACGAGAATGATTTCCCTATAATATACGCTGCATACAATCATGCAAACAAGGCTGCATGCAGTAATGTAGGCTGAGGCTGTGGGGTATAAGTGGTATAGTTTTGGGACCATTAAAAGCTCTCAGATTGTGGAACATAGAGCAAGCAATATTGCAGGCCGGTGACAACAACGAATGAAATACTATGTTTTGGTGGCTGGTCACTTGGCGTCACACCCCCCGCAACATAGGGCAGGCCCTGCAACACGACGAGGCATGAATGGGAAGGGAAGTCACTCTCTTTTTGTGTGTAGTGTAGAAAGACTTAGTCGTTATGAATTTATGAATGCAATTTAATAATTCCAACATTCTGAGTTAGACTGAGCTACACATAATTTAGTAGCAGACCACTGTATTGATTTGGATAACTATATGTGCGATGGCTGTTAATAAGGTTCTAGCAAACTGCTGAATGTAAATCCACACAGCCAACAAATGACAGGGTTGGTTTGCAATGTCATTTAAAGGATGTTCAGCTCAAGTTGCAGTTTGTCCCTTCCAGAATTGCAATCCGCAGAATCAAAACCTCAAGGATGAAAATCTTACATTGCTAATCTTGGTACACCCCGCTCAACTGTAAGGTTATATTGGAGTCCCTGGTGGTAACATTGCAAATCTTGGTACACCCTGCTCAACTGTAAGGTTATATTGGAGTCCCTGGTGGTTACATTGCAAATCTTGGTACACACCGCTCAACTGTAAGGTTATATTGGAGTCCCTGGTGGTTACATTGCAAATCTTGGTACACCCTGCTCAACTGTAAGGTTATATTGGAGTCCCTGGTGGTTACATTGCAAATCTTGGTACACACCGCTCAACTGTAAGGTTATATTGGAGTCCCTGGTGGTTACATTGCAAATCTTGGTACACACCGCTCAACTGTAAGGTTATATTGGAGTCCCTGGTGGTTACATTGCAAATCTTGGCACACCCTGCTCAACTGTAAGGTTATATTGGAGTCCCTGGTGGTTACATTGCAAATCTTGGTACACACCGCTCAACTGTAAGGTTATATTGGAGTCCCTGGTGGTTACATTGCAAATCTTGGTACACCCTGCTCAACTGTAAGGTTATATTGGAGTCCCTGGTGGTTACATTGCAAATCTTGGTACACCCTGCTCAACTGTAAGGTTATATTGGAGTCCCTGGTGTTTACATTGCAAATCTTGGTACACCCTGCTCAACTGTAAGGTTATATTGGAGTCCCTAGTGGTTACATTGCAAATCTTGGTACACACCGCTCAACTGTAAGGTTATATTGGAGTCCCTGGTGGTTACATTGCAAATCTTGGTACACACTGCTCAACTGTAAGGTTATATTGGAGTCCCTGGTGGTTACATTGCAAATCTTGGTACACCCTGCTCAACTGTAAGGTTATATTGGAGTCCCTGGTGTTTACATTGCAAATCTTGGTACACCCTGCTCAACTGTAAGGTTATATTGGAGTCCCTGGTGGTTACATTGCAAATCTTGGTACACACCGCTCAACTGTAAGGTTATATTGGAGTCCCTGGTGGTTACATTGCAAATCTTGGTACACACTGCTCAACTGTAAGGTTATATTGGAGTCCCTAGTGGTTACATTGCAAATCTTGGTACACCCTGCTCAACTGTAAGGTTATATTGGAGTCCCTGGTGGTTACATTGCAAATCTTGGTACACACCGCTCAACTGTAAGGTTATATTGGAGTCCCTGGTGGTTATGAATTAATCTGAAGTCTACATTAGGCATGGATGCTAGAAGCAGCTTGAATATACATATAGTTTGTTGCTTTTTTTGTTCTGATGAAGTTCATTTTTTCTTCTTCTTTGTTCACCAGCTGTTAGCTCTGATGGAAAGCCCTGGTTCTTTATCCATTTGGATTTTAACCTTATGCTAAGGCCTGAGTTTTGCGGGTACGTCCGTTTTACTGGCTTATTTGAATATAGCTGGCTGTTCCATGCCTCTCGGGCATATGTAGTCTGAATTGAAAAAAAACTCCCAGTTAGTCGACTCTTCTGACATGCTTTTTGTTGTTGAAAGAAGTGGGTCTATTCTTGTTTTCCCCACAATGGGGCCCCAAAAACCACATGGAATTGACTAGGTTCTAACTTTAAAAAATTAATGAGTACCCAAACATTACTCTTAACTACTGGATATTTACTTATTTGCCCTGTATGATGTTGATCACAACACCCATCAAGTACTGATGAGTCCAAACAAATAGTCTCTCATCATAAGCCCGACGTGGCATTAAATGGGTTCTTTACTTACTTTCTACTTACTTGTCTGCCCTTAGCTTGAACAAGCCAATCAGAAATGCCAGAATACTCAGTCCCATGCAGCCGATAAACAATCCAGAAAAACTCTCCACCTGGTTGACAAAAACATACAAGAAACAGCTGTTTTAAACTTTATCAACGAGATGTATAATGTGAGCAACTCACAATCCTTTTCAGTCTATAGGCGGCTTCGTGACAGATGGACTGCTTCATATGTAGATAAATACTTTGCCTGCTCGTATGTAATAAATACTTTTCACGTAGGCGCACATGGCATATGCTGCTTTATTACCTCTTAAGATTAGTCTGGAGGCGATGAGTGATGTTGTCATTAAAACATGGATAGCATTTTGTTTGGGAACAGTGATTGGTGTATACATATAATCATAAAGTTCATTCATCCCACCCTCACTGGACTACAGGACATTGACTGACTGGTTGACATTCAACCACTCCAGGAGATCACAACGAACGATAAACACTTGGTGACACAAAGTTCTACCATTCAGATGAGGATCAACCGGACAGAGGTCACAGAAACCCTGTTTAACCCATAGGTTTGGTTATATTAGGGCCCTTCAGGCAACAGCCAGTGGGGGGCTTTAAAACAACAACAAAATTGTGACTGCAAGTTACTTCCTAACAATTTTTTTTGTGGTGTCCCTGATATAGCTGTTCATTATGGGTTTCAGGAAGTTCCACCTGTCTGAATCCATCCTTGAGATCTCTAAAAACTGCAATCCTAGTGGAGAAAAAAATTATTTTAATAAAATTATCGTAGAAGACCAAGATCTGTCTATTAAAAGGGTTTCACCTTTGGATATGCAGAAGACATACACAATTTGATATTTGTCATCAACAAATTTGGTTATCATCGGTCATATGAAAATAAAAAGTATTCTTTCACTGACACTCTACAGGTAATCACTATGCAAAATTTTTTACCAGTAAAGGTTACAAAACACGGATCAGTGTTTTAAATTATTCATAGACACACTACAGACAAAACAGGGTGTATATCATCCTAAACTGTTAACAGAAAAAAAATGTCCCATGTAATGAAAAGTTCTTCACAGACATATCTTACCTGACATATATGACCAACATATGTAACAGAACGATTATCTTTTAAAAAAAACTTCTTTGTAGACATACTCATACATGAAAGTAAAAGGACACTTCTTATGCCAGTGGTATATTGGACATATGAGGCTAGACTATTATTTTTTTGTAGACAAGTCAGCACTCATTGTGTGATTTAGTTTACCCTACACTGATCTTTACTTCCCAAGAATAGTAAGTAAATAGTATCCCACCAGGACAGGACATCACACAAGCGATAAACACCTGGTGACACAAAGTGTCACCATGTGAATGAGGATCACTCGTGAAGAGGTCCAGGAAACCCCGTTCAGCCGCTAAGGCCACATTTATGGCCCAGTTATATTTAGGGCCCCCGGAAAAAGCCAGGGTGGGGCTTCAAAAACAAAAAATTGCATCTCACATGGGGACGACTAGTACATTAATAACCAATTCCCAGGAATTAGCTGGTATCCATGTTAAGCTAAGTCAGCCTTGTAGTCAAAGTCAGTTTAAAATAAACCCATTTTATTGTGGATTTCAACCCAAGACTTTGGGCTGTCATGTGAGTGTCTCTCTGCTATGCCACTGAGGTTTCATGCAGACATACCTAACATAAATCACTAACATATATAACAAAACAATTATATCTAAATGAAAGGTTTTCGTAGACATACATACATACCTGGGGAGCTGGCGTGGTGTGGTGGCTAGATGCGCACCTGAGGATCGGAAGGTCCTAGGTTTGGGTTTTGACGGAGCTAGACATTTTTTTTAAATGACCTTGTCTCCAAGATCGACTCAGCCCTAAATGGGTATCAGGCAAAAGTCTTGCAAAGTAAAAGCGGCTGGCGTGATGCTGACCACATCACCCACCAAGTGTGATTGGTCTATAAAATATAGATATATCCCTATATGCCTAAAGGCATGGAAAAGAATCCTTTTACACACATACCTGACATGTTCCTGATCACTATCCAATGTAAAGAATAATTATATCTAAAGAAAAAAGTTCTTCGCAGACATTCATACCTGACACATATCACCAACTAATGTAACATAATATTTATCTTTGAATGAAAAGTTCTTCACAGACACACAAACCCAACATATATCACCAACAAATGTAACAGAATAATTATCTTTGAATGAAAAGTTCTTCACAGACATACATACCTGACATATATGACCAACAAATGTAACAGAATAATTATTTTTGAATGAAAAGTTCTTCGCAGACATACATACCCGACATATATCACCAACAAATGTAACAAAATAATTATCTTTGAATGAAAAGTTCTTCACAGACACACAAACCCGACATATATCACCAAAAAATGTAACATAATAATTATTTTTGAACAAAAGTTCTTCACAGACACATACATGACATATATCACCAACAAATGTAACAGAATAATTATTTTTGAATGAAAAGTTCTTCACAGACATACATACCCGACATATATCACCAACAAATGTAACAGAATAATTATTTTTGAATGAAAAGTTCTTCGCAGACATACATACCCGACATATATGACCAACAAATGTAACAGAATAATTATTTTTGAATGAAAAGTTCTTCGCAGACATTCATACCCGACATATATGACCAACAAATGTAACAGAATAATTATTTTTGAATGAAAAGTTCTTTGCAGACATACATACCCGACATATATCACCAACAAATGTAACAGAATAATTATCTTTGAATGAAAAGTTTTTCAGAGACACACATACCCAACATATATCACCAATAAATGTAAATGAATAATCATCTTCGAAAGAAAAGTTCTTTATAGACATACATACCCGACATATATCACCAACAAATGTAACAGAATAATTTTCTTTAAATGAAAAGCTCTTCACAGACATACATACATGACATATATCACCAACAAGTGTAAGAGAATAGTTATCTTTGAATGAAAAATTCTTCACAGACATACATACATGCCATATATCACCAATGAATGTAACAATAATTATCTTTGAATGAAAAGTTCTTACTAAACTTACTGATATTTAATATATATCACCAATTAATGTAACAAAAAAATTATCGTTCAATTAAATGTTTTTCACAGACATACATACCTGATATATATCACCAACTAATGTAATAAAATAATTATCTTTGAATGAAAAGTTCTTCAAAGACATATATACCTGATATGTATCACCAAAGAATGTAATGAACAAAAAAGTTACCTGAACATGAACAGTTAGTTCCTCACAGACAAGCTACAGACATACCTCACCTGGCGACTATCATTGACCACTGTAATGGACAGTACAATGACTCCCGTGCCAATGGTTCCCCACAGTCGCTGCTGGCCCCATTTCAAAGAATAAGGCCCCAATATGGTGTATGTGACCGCATCAATGAGACTGCAGTAAAGAAAAACAAAACAGATTAGCATTGTGAGTTTCTCATCCTGTCATGTCGTTATAAGTCACAAACAGTTCACACTCTAGTCCTCCTTTCTGTTTTTCACTGTGAAATCCTTTCAACGTCTGGAAGGAATTAGAATCAGCACTTTTTGCCTCTCTCAACAACATTCATTTGAGTGTTTTTCTTAGAAGTCCTCATTCCTCAATCCTTTTTTCCCCAGTTCAATGCCTGTTTAGTGATTCTCATAATGTAAACAATATATTAGCATCTATCTTTTCTTAACCCTTTCAGTCCAAAGCAATGCATAATGTATAATGGACTTTTCACCATAAAACTAAACCGTTGCGCAATATGTTCGTATGCATTTTACATTTGGTTAGAGTACACTAAAGAAATCTTGCTTATCCCAGTGGTCAGTTCTACTGTTGTCAGTTTAAAAGTTATAGTTATGAAATTTTGTAGTGATGAACTGTTTCTAGGTGTCTGCTGCAAAATCTACTGGGACTACAATAGTTAAAAGTGTTAATTTCTGTAGTTATCAAGTCATTTCTCTTAATTCTTCACTGCTCTTAATTTATCCCATTTAATGTTCACTTAATTTCCTGGGAAGTTGTTTTCAAGTGCATTTAACTTTTGTTCCATGTCTTTATTGGTTCTCCAACTAATAGTCAGTTCTGTTACAGTGTACAGTGTTACCTTGTACATGTTAGAGTACATTTCCTTGTACATGTTACTGTACACTATCTTGTACACATTAGAGTAATTTCCTTGTACATGTTACAGTACACTATCTTGTACATGTTACAGTACATTTCCTCATAGGTTTTTACTTATCAGCTGACTGTCCATATTGTAACAGTGTTAACATACATTTAAGTTTCCTATGGGGTGACAATTATAAAATGTTAACACATTCATTCACTGTCTTTTTGTGCCATTATATATTATGTGGTGCTCCCAGTCTATTCCTCTACTTCTCTCTACCCTGTGCAATCACCCTGATATCATGGATGGAGTCCAGTCGTCCCCTTTGACTTCTCTCATTAACATTTGCCTAAGTGCTTCTTTTGGACGTCCTCGTTTCCTTAATCCATTTATTTCCCATCTTAGTGGCTGTTTGGTGATTCTCTGTCATCTCTTCTGACAATGTGTCCAATAGAGCACCATCTTCTCAGTCTAATAATTGTTGCCCAGATATTTCTTATATCTTAATTTCTCTTGAATTCATCCAATTTTATGTTCATCATAATCATTTGTATAACCTTCACTAAAGATAACACACAAACACTCACACACACACACTTACACACACGCACGCACACACAATTACGAATCTGAGGGAAAATATTGACCTTTGTTGACCCAGCCTAAAATTGGTATCAAAAAATGATCTGAGAGTTAAAGGCCCTCTGTATGGTGTTGATAGCTGTATCAATCTGCAACCTCCTGCCTGGTTTACTTCCAATCTTTTCTGATACAGATGATCCCCAAATGCCAGGATGTCAAACTATCCAGCATCTTCTCTCTTGTTCTCCATATGTCTCTATTTCTCTTCAGCGTCCCACTGTTGCAGTTTTCTTCTTCTCAGGGATGTGAACAAAGAATGTAGACTTCTCCTTCTGATGTTGGTAATTAGTTCTCTTGACTTCGCCAACATATGTTCCAATTTTTCAGTGTAGGAAACACGGAGACGTGTCCCTGCAGCATGGCACCCGAAAATGCTAAGCATGTGCTCCAGCACTGTCAACTGTATGCTGACAAGAGAGACGCAATCTGGCCTGTTCCAACCATAATGAAGACAAAGCTGTATGGTACACGAGAGAATATAGACTGCACGATAGCTTTCATAAAGGCTATCGGCCTATTGATATGAGTTTTCTGATATAAGGAACGAAGAAGAAGAAGTTCTCTTGATAACTTAATTTCTTTTAAGACATCTTTATTATTATTATTATTATTATTTTGGTATCTGATAATGGGGTTCCCATGGGTCATCTGTAAAACCTCGCTTCTGCAGTTTCCTCGTAAGTGTTTACTCACAGGCTGACTGTCATTGTTCTAAAGATTCTACAGTGTTAACATAGACCAGTGAAAGTTGAAGAACCACTAAAGAAATGGTATGAAAATTTAATGCTTTTTAAAACAAATGCCTGAGGAGAATGTTGAACATAAAGATGGGACGAATTCAAGAGGGGTGAACCAAATAAGAGAAAGAACTGGGCAACCACTTGTAATACAGTTGTGAGACAGAGAAGATGGTGCTACATTGGACACATCCTAAAAAGAAACCAGCAGAGAATCACTAAACATGCACTAAAATGGGAAATAAAGGATTGATGAAGCAAGGACACACAAAAGAAACTTTAAAATGAATGCTGATGAGAAAATACAAAAGTGCTGGGCCAGAGTCCATCAATGATATTGAAGTGACTCTACAAGATAGAAGAACGGAGGAATAGACTGTGAGCCCTATGTGACATATGATGGCACAATAGGACAATGATGATGATGACAATCCATGATTCATTTCTGGACATCAGAGCTGGTTCTGTAGCTCTTAATTTGCCTAAAAAATATGACAATTTAAAGCATAAATATGAATCTAAATGAAATGCAACAAGTAAACTACATACCTCGTCGAAGCTGAGTACAGGGATTTTCCAGTAATGAGGAGAAGAAATGATAGTGAAAATGCCAAATCTGGAATAATTCTGTGATGGGAACTGGAAAGAGATCTCTTTTCTTCAGTAACATTTAGTAACTCATGGCCAGGATTCTCACGATGGAAAGTATTCTTAGTCATTTGTGTTCGAGTACAATTTAATAAACATGTCACTGTGCTATGGCCAGTTCTTGATGTTTCATACGACGGATTTCGGTGATGTAAATTCCCCGCAGGACTACTGACAGTACGAATATCCTGGTCTTTAAATTGTAACACTGCTGCATCTTCTAAACGTTCTAAAGATTTGGGTGATGTTTTTACAGGTTCACTTTCACAATCTATGTAAAAACATGGCACAGAGTGATCATTAAATTCATAGAATATTTCCTTTGTATTTTTCTGCTGATTTACTTTATCATTGAGATCTAGATGGGGAATATCAATGGTATATTCAGTACTGTTAACTGCTTGGTGTCTTTGAATGTCAGACACATTGAAGTCATGCTCATCTGTTTGAAATGCCCCAAATGCATCCCGGCGATGATATACAGTCATATTCATCATATTTTTGCTGTCAGCGATTCTACACCAGCAAGAATTCAGACTTGCTGGGTAGCTGCAGATTTCTTGTCCAGTCTCTGTCCAGCAAGTCCAGGTGTCGATGTTATCTTGCTGGTGTTGCTGAGCAACAGATCTGCCACTGCTGTAGTTTGTAGATGGTTCCAGTGGCAGGATTCTGTGCGGGATAAACCACATAGAGAAGAAGGAAAGTCCAAAACCTGAAACACATAAATGTAGAATTGTGTACTATTGCTAGAAGTAAAGTCTTTGTCAGATATGACTGAGCTACCGTATAAGCTATACGGTAAATTCTACTACTAATTCTCTGTTTATGCTCAGTACGAGACACATCATACGTGACATCCCATATTGTTCCAGCAGCTCTGGGTGGAGCAGCGCACTGGGGAGAATTATAGAGGAAATACAAACTGAAATCTTCTTCTTCTTTATCTTCTTCGCATTCACCAGCTGTAAACTCTGGCTGAACGTTCTGGTTATTCGTCCACTTCTGGACTGCAGTCCTGTTCCAGAACTTGAGTGTTGCGTGTGCATCGGCTTGGCAGATCTGACTAATTTGTATGCAGACTGTTGGTTCCTTGCCTTTCAGGCAGATTCACTCCAACTTTGAAGGAAGCTTCCAATTAGTCGACTCTTACGACATGCTTTTGGGTCTGCAGTGGGTCTATTCTTGTTTTCCCTATAACAGGGCCCTGGAACCCACACAGGGAACTGAAATCCTAATATTGGTACTAACTCTCCTTTGCCTCCAAAGACAGGCCGAGGGAGGGATCAGGCTGCATGGACGACACATGTCCTCTACTATACTGCTCAGTCTTTGTGTTATGGAAAGGATGAACTCCATCACCGGCCTTCCATCACCATTTTGTGTTATGGAAAGGATGAACTTCATCACCGGCCTTCCATCACCATTTTGTGTTATGGAAAGGATGAACTCCATCACCGGCCTTCCATCACCATTTTGTGTTATGGAAAGGATGAACTTCATCACCGGCCTTCCATCACCATTTTGTGTTATGGAAAGGATGAACTTCATCACCGGCCTTCCATCACCATTTTGTGTTATGGAAAGGATGAACTTCATCACCGGCCTTCCATCACCATATGCTGTCATTTCCATGCCTTCCTAAAACACAATACAAAGCTATCGCCTGGAAAGATAAACATGTGCCAAAATCAAAAGCAGCAAACAATTCCAACAACTGTCCAGGTGAATGGCAAAATAGATCAAGAAGATCAAGAAGACAAGAAACAATAGGCGACAGTTTTTCATTGTGACATGGGCAATATCAGCACATGAAATTCGTCATGTGTTTGAAGATCTCCAGGTATGAGAAGCTTAAATCACCCATATCAGTTGGCAAGACACTTGATGATGATTTACTACTTTGAAATAATAAACACACCAACGTTTATGGACGGTGTGTGTTTAATTCGAGGTGAATCACTCATCTGACTTATGTGGGCATGTCAATTAATGTTACACCCTGTGTGTTTTATTGATGAATGATGGAATGAATATTCACCATGAGAATATAAAAAGAGTAATGAAGATGTTTTGAAATTAATGAATTCACGAACACAGCTGATTACCCGTATAAGGAGACAATCTACATTCTTTGGTCATATCTTGAGAATAGAGAATAGATCATACTTGTTAAGAACTCACCAGAGACAACATAAATAATTCTTCTTATCAGAAATGCCTCTTAACCAGGTAAGAATTCAAGCAAGAAAAATTGTCGGGAATAAATAAATTATTCTTTACAACAGAAATTCGCCACATCTGCTATCGTCCTAAGTAGTCTGCTTAAAACTATGACACTGGGCTACAACCTGGTATCAGTGAGGTGACAAAAGAAAAAGAAAGAAAAGTCATGACAAAATTTATACTAGATGGAAAGTTGAAGGCCGGAGAGCAAGAGGTAGACGGCGATATACATGAGAGGATAACATCAAGAAGTGGATAAATGGCAGTCTCAGAGAATGTACAGCCATGAGGAGAGGCAGGGAGAAGTACTGCAGCCAGCCTTTTTGTGAAGACGGCACCTGGTTGATTGCTAATGAAGACACCTATACTATTTATCCCAGTCCAGTCATGCTGCAGACATCTTGTTGACATCATTTATTTCCAGTTTACCCTCACAAAACTTTTGACTTGTGTAGCTTCACTTCTAAATGCATGTTATATATATATATATATATATATATATATATATATATATATAATATATATATTGGCATCATCGGAGACAGTGTCGCCCATTGGCTCGCTGGTAGACGACTTCGTCGCCGGTCGGGAAAGTAATCGCGTCTGTCTCCTTTGATCGCATCAACACTGCAGGAGTCCCTTTTAGGGCGCTTGGTGGCGTGCAATGCTAAGCCATGTTATATGGGGCACCTAACCTAGTCACAATTATAACCTAAAGCTCCCCCTTCAGGGATGCTGGTTAAATTGACGATTTTTTTTTTCTAGCAAAGCACCTACCAACCTCTCATTGGCATGGCACATGAGGATGATGATGACCATGATGGGATACCGTAATAACAATTATGTTAGGGTTTAGGTTTGAACAACGGATCAACATTATGCACAAGGGTAGTAACCCATAAGTTCTCCGTTATATTTTAAAGTCAAGGCTCGGTCTGAAAATTCTTTCGCAGTGCACGAACTCCGTAATACCAGCGAGGACCCTGAAATACTTAAGGTAGATCTTTAACATCAAATTTTACCCGGCAGTGCCGTTAAGCTACTTTTTTCAATTTCTAACTGCAAATGGATTTTTTTTTTTTTTACGTGCCAACAGTTCATACGAAAATCCAGTCATACTACCCAGAGACCAGGGAAAATTTTTAAAAAGTTCACATGAAAAAAATCCCAACATTCACCGGGGCCTAAACCCGGGAACTCCAGCACACGAGGCGGATGCCATGCCTCGAGACCACGCAAAGCTAACTGGCAGCAACAACAACAAACAAACAAAAATAGTGTATTTGAAATAGCGGAAACTGAATAATAAATGCTTTAAATCGAACTTTTATCAAATGTTTGGGCGGAGGGGGTGGACAGTCAGCTTCTTAACCAATGTACAAAGGGGGAGACGCGTTTATCTCTCATTAAATTCTTTCTAAACCCTACCAGGACATCCACCAAGCGATAAACACCTGGTGACACAAAGTGCCACCATGCAGATGAGGATCCCCCGGGGAGAGGTCCCAGAAACTCCGTTCAACCGTTAGGTTATATTAGGACCCCCGTCTACAGCCGGGGTGGGGCCGTAAAAAAAAAAAAAAAGAAAATTACGTTGGGTATCGGGACGACGGATTGGAAAAAAATTATAGCAGAAGGCATGGTACCAGAAAGGAGGGGCAGGGACCGACTGACACGAAGATGGGCACAGGATATAAGTGACTCCTTGAGTGTGAGAGTGCATGAGGCGGGGGAACTGGCGAGAGACCGAGTTTCTTTCAGGCAGACTGTGATGAGAGCGACGTTCTGCAAAGGACCTGCTACATGATGATGATCGGGACGACGACTTTCTTTCTATTGACGGGTGTGGAGTTAATGTGCATGAGCCCCAGCTTTCGGTGTCTCTCTCTCTCTCCCACACACACACACACACACACACACACACACACACACACGTAAACACACGTTCCTAGGCTTCGCTAAAAAAATCGTCACGTTTAACCAGGATCCCCAAAGGGTATCTTGAGGTTATAATTGTGACTAGGTTATGTGCGCCATATAAAATGGCTTAGCATTGCACGCCACCAAAAGCCACCACTGAAAAGAACTCCTGCAGTGTTGATGCGATCACAGGAAACAGACACAAATACTGTACCGACAGGCGACGAAGTTGTCTACCAGTGAGCCGATAGGTGACCCGGTCGCTGATGACACAGACACACATCCACACACACACAAATATATATATATATATATATATATATATATATATATATATATATATATATATATATATATATATATAAAATATGATGATGACAACGACAAAGACGTGTCCCTACTCACCCAAACAACAGATCAACAAGGCTGTCTTCCTGGCGCTTAACCGATCGGCTAACATGGCGATCAGGGCTCTCAGCAACATGGCGAACAGCATGGACAGGCCGGTGATGATTCCAGCCTCGGAGGCGCTCAGCCGCAGATGCTTGAGGTAGACGGTGATAAACGGAATGAAGGAGCCGCTGGCTGGGGAGGTCAGAACACCAACGTCACAAGGTTTATTACAGAAAATAAAACATATGGGGATATACTGTGTGCGTTTTCAGGAGGAACCTACGCCAGGTCAAGCAAACCGTTGGTGGTATTAAAATGCCCACCAAAACCTGCTCTTGATGTCTTAACAAACAAAATGTATTTCCAAAGAGTTTCAAATTGGGCGCGCAGGTCCGCCTTACATCCATTACAAAAATTCATCTTTCATACGGAAATTGTATTTTCTATATCAAGAATGCTATGGAAGATGTATCATGGAGACAAAGAACAGAATAGGACAGGCCAAACCTGCCTTTAATAAAATATAGAACATGTGCAATAAATCCAGGTCATTAGAGGTAAGGAAAAAAAATTATCGCGAGCTATGTAGTGCCTGTTTTAACATGTAGCTGTGAATCCTGAACAATAAATAAACGAACCAAACAATATCTTAAAGCCTCATGTGGTTTTACAGAAGATTCTTAGTTTTCCTTGTCTTGGTTTGGTTAGAACAACGGATCAATATCGTGGCACAAAGAACCTATAAGTGCTCCGCTCTACTGCTAACTCAAGCCTGAGTCCGAAGAATCTCAGCGCAGTGCACGAACTCTGTAGCACCGGCGAGGATTCATATCTACTTTGGGTAGATTTTTAACTCACAATTTTTGTCCAGGCAGCGCCATAAGGCTACTTTTTTCTATTTTTAACTGCCAAGGGATTTTTTACGTGCGCAACAATACACACGAGAGTTCCGATCTCACTACACTGAGACAACATGAAATAACCAGAGGTCCACGTGAAAAAATAATCCTAGTCTTAACCAGGGCCTGAACCCGGGGACCTTCAACACTCGAGGTGGACCACTCAACCCCCGAGAATTCCTTGGACAGCTAAGAAGAGTAACCCAGATGTTTTGAAAGAGGCAGGTACTGGAAGACAACTTGTCACAAACATTAGAAAGAGGAAGGCATAATTCTTTGATCATGTTATGAGAAGAAGGAACATAGAACATGTTATGACCTCTGGAAAGATTTAAGGAAAGAAAGACAGTGGGATTGCAACAAAAGAAAGAAGAAGAAGAGGCAGAGGAAGAGAGCGCGACAAGATTTTTTAACAACCTTTCGTCATGGCATAAAGGGGTGTTAATACTAGAACTAATACACGCAGCTGCGGGTTGTGGAGATTATCCGTGCCAGTTGGCAAGACACTCGGTGATGATAATTTCAAACATATTATGTTGATAGTTTAAAAGTCATAGAAAAAATATAAAGGATGGACTTAGACCATACAGTAAGCTAACACTCGTGCACTCTCCCGGAAACCGATAAGAAGCCGTGCCTGCGACGCCTAATAGCATTAAACAGAGAGAGACAATAGACAGAAACATATGGGCAACCGTCGATACCTTAGACGCTTTATATACAATAAACAAATATACATGTAATGACTAATATTCATAGTCTCCGTGGCGAAGTGGTCAAGCCGTTTGCCTCGCGCTCTGAAAGTCGTGGGTTCGTTTCATGGGCGGTGCCGTTCAGTTCGTGAGTACAGTTTTTACGGATATCTCTAGAGATGTTTTGTGCTACTTGCTCGACAGGCGGCTAGTCGAGACCATATGCGGAAAGAGGCCGAGCCGTATGGGATAAAACGAGCTGCAGTGAAGTCTATCCTCTCAACGTTATCCTTTAACCTTTAGGAAGTTGTAGAAAGGTAGAAGGACACACTAGACAACATTAAAATCGAAAGCTAAAGGTATCATGTTTGGAATCGAACATGTGACCTACAAATGACCAACTAAGCAGCCTAGCACAATCTTAGTACTCTTTAATGTTGAATGTTGAATTAAGTATCTACATCACAGCACTCGGGACGCTCACATAAGTGCTCAGTCCCTATCTTCAGCAGCAAGCGATGAGTTCCAGTTCAGATGGTACCAGTAACCGTCTGATTGTATATCTGTCTCATCCCTCCCCTTAGTGTTGATCGTCGGCAACATTCCTGGTAACTCCTCGCAGAGCCATTCTTCTCAGAACGTAATGATCTATCTACGCCTCCGCACAGTTCACTCCTTCACAAAGGGCCCTCACAATATCTAACTTGTCATACATCAATTCACCACCAAGTGGTGCAGGGCTAGCCAGTCTTTCAATACACTTGTTACTGTAGCGAGGCGTAGTCGTCGTTTGGAGGTGACAGTTAGGACTCATAGCATGGTAACTATAGCTTCGATTTTGTTGTTATCTATTGTGCCCTTCTATCTTTCTACTTCATTCTTTGAGTACATCAATACTTGTCTATTTGTTTATTGTATACAAAGCTCATTATCATGATGATTTTTTCGTGTCCATTCAATTTATTTCCACCTACAGGTCTTTCAAGTGGTCAGAACATATTCGTGTTTCCTTCTTCTCATCACATGACCAAAACATGACGGCGGTCTCTTTCTGGTGTTTGTAATGAGTTGTCATCGAGCCCTCGCCTCTTTCATCTGGGTTGCACTTTTTGGCAGTCCAAAGAATTCTAAGAATTCTTCTGTTAAACTACATCTCCGAGGCCTTGAAAAATTGTTTGGCTTCTTTATTATTTGTCATGAATTCACAGCTATATTATTTGTACAGCTTTGTGAATTGGGAGCTCGCTGACCAAATACATGTTATCTGGTTGTAAGAGAAGAGTATATTAGCAAGCTTTACAATATAAGGAACACAAACAAAACGTGAACGTTGCGGCTATGGAGCCTTTATCGGCACATACATAAATAAAACAATAACACACAAATACACGAAATCACTTAGCTTAGTATCTCAAAGCAGTCAGGTCGATACGCATCGTTCATTTGATTAACTAATAGTTTTATAGACCGATCGACACGTGAAAAAGAGGGAGGAGGGGGCGTGATGTGATCAACTTCACGCCGACCGCCTTTACTTCCCAGAACATTATTTGGTATGCAATTTAGACTGGGTTAGCTTGTAAGCCAAGGTCAAATTTGGAGGGGGGGGGGGGAATTTTCCGGATCGATATGGACGCGAACCTCGGTCTTTCGTGCCGGCAAGCGAGCGGCTAACTATTAAACCACGGCGGTTCCCCAATACAGTCAACAAGAATTACAAAACAGGAACTTGCCCTTGACCCAGCTTTACACAGAGCCTACCATAGTGCAACGACAAGGCAGCCGGGTCATCCTGCTCTAATTATATATATACCGTATCCTGGTAGGTTAAGTTTGGGCGCACCATTTTCACACACGTTCGTTCTGGTGCTTTGCTAGGAAAAAAAAAGAATAACTAAAAAAATCGTCACGTTCAATCAGCATCCCCGAAGGAGGAGCTTTAGGTTGTAATTATGACTAGGTTATGTGCGCCATATAAAATAGCTTAGCATTGCACGCCACCAAGAGTCCTGTAAAGGACTCCTGTAGTGTTGATGTGATCAAAGGATACAGACCCAAATACTGTCCCAACCGGCGGCGAAGTAGTCTACCGGCGAACCAATGGGGTAAACGAGTGACTTTGCCTCTATAACATGGGGTAGTGTCTCGAAAAATGTTGGGAACCCCTGAATTCTTTGTATGGTCGAGACGGCAGTGGTAACCTCATGTGCAGATAGGGGTGTGGGGGCACTGAAGGAAAAAACGGCAGTGGTAACCTCATGTGCAGGTGGGGGTGTGGGGGCACTGAAGGAAAAAACGGCAGTGGTAACCTCATGTGCAGGTGGGGGTGTGGGGGCATTGAAGGAAAAAACGGCAGTGGTGAAAGAAATGGAGCAGCAGCAGCAGCAACAGCAGAAGAAGAAGAAGAAGAAGAAGAAGAAGAAGAAGAAGAAAAAAAAGAAGAAGAAGAGAAGAAGAAGAAGAAGAAGAAGAAGAAGAAGAAGAAGAAGAAGAAGAAAGAAAGAAAGAAAGAAAGAAAGAAAGAAAGAAAGAAAGAAAGAAAGAAAGAAAGAAAGAAAGAAAGAAAGAAAGAAAGAAGAAAGAAAGAAAGAAAGAAAGAAAGAAAGAAAGAAAGAAAGAAAGAAAGAAAGAAAGAAAGAAAGAAAGAAAGAAAGAAAGAAAGAAAGAAAGAAAGAAAGAAAGAAAGAAAGAAAGAAAGAAAGAAAGAAAGAAAGAAAGAAAGAAAGAAAGAAAGAAAGAAAGAAAGAAAGAAAGAAGAACAAGAAGAACAAGAAAGAACAAGAAAAAAAGAAAGAAGAAGAAGAAGAAGAAGAAGAAGAAGAAGAAGAAGAAGAAGAAGAAGAAGAAGAAGAAGAAGAAGAAGAAGAAGAAGAAGAAGAAGAAGAAGAAGAAGAAGAAGAAGAAGAGTTGAGGATGAGAATGGTAGAGGGCAGAGAATTCAGATATTCAGAAAGAAGCTGAGAGCCGTTGTGTGAAGACAAAGAAGATTGTGTTTGATGAGAAGAATGAGAAAGAACGCAGATTATAAGTAAACATCAGTGGAAGAAGCTGAGCTACTACCTACTTTAGAGAAAAAGGAGACAGAAATGCCAGGTTGTAGCAAGAGAACACGATAACTTAATATAGAACAGGCCACCGCACATTGCTCTGACCTAATATCTATATTTACCTTCTACGTAGTGCACGTAGGTTATCTGTTGCTCAAAAAGTGTTCGTGCGTGACCAGTTAATTATTTAATTATGTTTTATACACAACAGCAAAATCGATGTTATATTATGTCCTTGTTTTACTTTAGAAAACACAAAAATAATCACACTCACCTCCATAGAAGAAGAAGTAGTACATTTTTAATGGCAGTAGTTTTCTGTTGATCTTCCATCGTGTGTGTGTTTCTCCCTCCTGTTTCGACGTCTCTTGGATGATCACTTGTATAGATTTGATCTGTGAGGACATCTTTCTCGAACAAAGAATATTTTCCTATAGAAACGTCAACACTAACGGCTGATTGTCACCGAATGCCAATGCACACTCTACATAGTTTTCCTAACATATCGTTGCTCTGTAGTCTATGTAGTTTATCTTATACTAGGGACCACTTTTATCAGCCATAACGAATTTCAATGGGGTCAAACAAGACGGGATTTGCAGTAGTGTAGAGACTAGACCTTTTTACCTACATGCCCGGTGGTCATGGGTTAGATACACTATTTAGATGAATACATTTTTTTTCTCCATGTCGACTCTCTCTCTCTCTTTATATATATATATATATATATATATATATATATATATATAAATGCACACACATATATATAGAGAGATATGTGTGTGTGTATGTATATGTAATTTACAAACGTCTTCTTATGTTCCCCGGCGGAAAGTTATGTCATCCACTTCTGGACTTTCTTGTTCTAGAACTTCTGTTTTGCGACAGGCTGTTCGTTCCTTGCCTCTCAGGCGGATGCACTAGGACTTCGAAAGAAACACCCCTAATTAGTCATTTGTTACGACATGGTTGTTAGGGAACAGTGGGTCTATATTTCTTCCACCAAAAAAGGGACCCCGGAACCCACACGGGAGTTCAGCGAATCCAGAGGTGAGGACACACGATGAGAAAACTTGACAATTTTGTCACTAGAAATTTCTTGTACTGAAACTTACAGGGCAAAAGATTGGAAGGGAGACCTAAGAAGATAGAAAATAATTTGAAATGGCGAAGGATCAAGCTATATGGTTGGAAGTTAGTTGAGGATTTATGTCCCCTTAGATCAGCCTTTTTTTTTTTTTAATAGTTTTTTTTCCCCACATTAAGGCGCGTCTGTTAAGGGGCGCTATGAAGTTTCAAGGGCCGTCAATCAATTTCAAAGTTTCCTTTGTACTTGGAATTATATTTTATACCAAAATTTTTTACTACCAGTTCAATTATCAATAAAATATTTAAAAAATATTTTACAAAATAAAAGGCTAGGGACGTTTTTGCATTTATTAGCAGTTTGTACATCCATCATAGGGGGAGAAAAACTACATCCCACAAGGTTAGTTGCGTATCCTTTACAGGACGTTGCAGAGCCAACCCGAACAGCCCCTGGCTGTTGTGTGGTTTTTCTAGGCAAATTTACGTCCAGTAGGTTGCCATTGCCAGCTGAACGGTCGGCTTTCTTGATACCACTGTCGAAACAAGCGCATGGTCCGCAGCTGGGATCCAACCTGACATCCCGGCATTATGAAGCGTTCGCATCGACTTAGCCACAGAGCCGACTCATCCCCCATGAGGGACCCAATTTTTCGTTATTTTGAAGACCCATGCCGGAAGGTGGTCAAGGGCCCTAATTCTAACCTAATCTATGTGTTGCACGAAGTTTCTGGGACCTCTGCATGGGTGATCGTCATCCGAATGGTGGCACTTTGTGTCACCGGGTTTGTATTGCTGAGTGTGATGTCCTGGTGGGGGTAAAAAGTCAATATCTATTATTACAATTTGAATTAATAGGATAACACATTTCTAGGTAATAGTGCTTTGGGTCTCATTCTGTCCTCCTCCCTTTATTCGAATTGTGTTAGGAATGAATGAAAAGAATTAACATCACTGCACTTGGGACATTCCCACATGTGCTCCGTCTCCTTCTTCAGTAGCTAACGAAGAGTTGACAAGCTAACTGTACCAGTTGTAACGTGATTAAACGTCCGCCTCTGTTTCTTCTTCATTGTTGAATATCCTCCGGAATATCTAGGAATTTTTTTTTAAGTTGGAGGGGGAAAAGTAGGGAAAAGGGGAGGGTGGGGGGGGGGGGCGTGAAAACCTTGCCATATATTGAAGTGGGCAACACAATTACGCCTAGACTCAAGACACAGAACATATTAATAGTTATGACTTTTGCTGCGCATTTAAACAAGGGTTAGGCTCTTTGAGCCCTCCTATCCCATTTTTCTTTGTGTTGTCGCCCCTGACACAGGTGCAAGTATAAAACTACGTAAATCCATGTTTCCAAACCTGTTTTTTGTCCCATGCCCCACCTAAGCCTTTCTAAAATTCGTATGCCCCATTCGTAGCTCAAATTCTGGACGAGTCAATTTCGATTTGACCCCCCCCCCCCACCCCCCTCCAACAATCAAACTGCCCCCAACCCAAACAATCGTATTGGCCCCTGTGGGACATGAGCCCCAAGTTGGGAAACACTGATGTAAAATAGATGGGAACCAAAACTTTACACAGCTGATCACATGAAACGAGAAACTACGCTTGATTATTCCAATGTGTTGTGTCTAGTTAACATCACAGAATAACCGTAACATCACGGAGTGTATTCCAGTGCACGAAATGGACCTCACAATAAAAAGAACAATATGTGCATAAGTACATTGATATTAATACATTATACAGGCATCGATACTTCTCTAGCATTCGGGCACTGAGTGGAAGAAAACGGTATTCCTAATACTGTTGAATACTCACAAATGCATAAAATCTCTATAACGAGTGCAAAAGCTGCCAGCTGTGCTGGGTGTAAAGCTGAACCAGTGTGCAGAATTTGGCATATGTACAAATGAGCCAACTGGAAGTAGGTCATGACACAGTTATCACCAATACAAACAGAAAGAAGTAGAATGTGTGCTTGCTGGGGATTTCTTGACGGTCGGGAAATCCCGAAAAATAGATGAATTCCTTGTCAACAATTTTTTTTGTTTCCGGCTTCACAGACAAATGAATACTTAGGACAGCCACTTACATAGATCGGCACATAGATATGCATAGAAGGGTGTAAAAAGTAACAGATAGAAAAACAGGACCAAGCACCGACCGAAGACAGACCGACCGATCGACCGACCATACATACACACACACACTCACACACATACATACACACATACATACATACATACACACACACACACACACACACACACACACACACACACACACACACACACACACACACACACACACACACACACACACACACACACACATACATACATACATACATACATACATACATACATACATACATACATACATACATACATACATACATACATACATACATACATACATACATACATACATACATACATACATACATACATACATACATACATACATACATACATACATACATACATACATACATACATACATACATACATACATACATACATACACATACATACATACATACATACATACATACATACATACATACATACATACATACATACATACATACATACATACATACATACATACATACATACATACATACATACATACATACATACATACATACATACATACATACATACATACATACATACATACATACATACATACATACATACATACATACATACATACATACATACATACATACATACATACATACATACATACATACATACATACATACATACATACATACATACATACATACATACATACATACATACATACATACATACATACATACATACATACATACATACATACATACATACATACATACATACATACATACATACATACATACATACATACATACATACATACATACATACATACATACATACATACATACATACATACATACATACATACATACATACATACATACATACATACATACATACATACATACATACATACATACATACATACATACATACATACATACATACATACATACATACATACATACATACATACATACATACATACATACATACATACATACATACATACATACATACATACATACATACATACATACATACATACATACATACATACATACATACATACATACATACATACATACATACATACATACATACATACATACATACATACATACATACATACATACATACATACATACATACATACATACATACATACATACATACATACATACATACATACATACATACATACATACATACATACATACATACATACATACATACATACATACATACATACATACATACATACATACATACATACATACATACATACATACATACATACATACATACATACATACATACATACATACATACATACATACATACATACATACATACATACATACATACATACATACATACATACATACACACATACATACATACATACACACTAGAGATAGATTATGGGGGAACAACCTGGAACATAGTAAATGTTTACGCTGCGATTGACTTGTTTTCACAAAGGAACATTGGGCCTGGCCCAAAGAGTTGGAGGAAATCCCTGTCAATTGGCTTCTCATTTGTAGGGATTTTAACGGGATTTTGACAGTACTGGAGAAAACAGACAAGGAAGTGCTTTAACAGAGACTATGGTGAATGCAGACATAGTCTGTATAAACGATGATAGGCCAACGAGAATGGCAATGAGACCTGGTGATGCAGACACGGCTATTAATTTTACGGTGTTTTTTTTTTTTTTTACACAGTCAGCAGTGGTGGACACAAAATGAGTGTCCTGAGCGATCATGGGAGTGACCATATGCCACGTTCAGTCTTGATTTCGAAAGCTAGCAAGGTTAGGGCTGTGAGAATGCGCAAGACTTTTTAAGTATGAGACGGCCAGTGCCCTTCTTGGACGCCTTCAACAGAAGGTGTGCAGCAGAATCCTACCACCTCTGCTTTTGTGCAACCTCCGTGGTGGACCCAAAAAGTAGAACAGAAGAATCACCTATAGTTGCCCCTCTCCTCGGTGCATGGGCCTCAGAACCATATAATATAGCCCCAGGGCTACCCCACGGTTTTCTAATTTAACCGGTGCTCTTTTGTGTGTATACAAGCAATATTGCACAACTTGAAGCACCAGGTATTGGAAGAATATTGACATTTGCTGATGATTTTCCTGTATATAGGCAAGAGAGTGACAGACATCAGATAGTCCACGAGCTGCAGGTAACTGTAGACAAAGTGACTGACTGGTGTGCAAGAAT